TTTCCTGTTGACAAGCCACATAGAGCTACACTGGTGATGGAGCCACAGCCCTGGAGCTGGAGGAGCCACATGGAGACCTATGCCAGCGCTAAGATGCTTCTACCACCATTGCATCCACAAGACATTTCACCCACTGGCCTGTGATCTTCCTGCATCCGACGTCATTGCATGTGTTGTGTTGAGTCTGAAGAGGAATTTACAGACTGGTGTTGGACATATGGGCTAATATTGGACTTATGAACTTGATCTGGACTGGGCTGGGATGTTTTCTTAATGTACAATTGCTCTTTTATATAAAGCTCTTATACACATAGGAATGTCTCCCTGGATTTGTTTCTCTAGTTAACCCGGACTAACACACACCATTTTTGCAGTTTCTCTATTTTTTGTTGTGTCTTCCTGATTCTGGAATTCTGGTCACATGTAGTTTGTTCCTCTTGATTGTATCCCACATAAATCTTAGACTTAGAAATTTTTATTTCTTTTTCCTGATTGTTTCTCTAGCACGTTAGTGTTGAGAAATTTGTCATCCGCCTCACTAGTGCAGCCTTCCATTGATTCAGTTTGTGGTGGTAGTATGTTTTAATTTAATTGGTTGCATGTTGGTGTATTCTAGGCAGCCACAACCTATCTCTTGGCGACTGTGGTAGAGAATGAGTGTTTGCATAGTTCTCTGTCATGAAGCGCAGTTGAGGGCAGGTTTGACTAGTGTTAGCTGCTGTTTATATATGCTGAGGTACTACAGGATTAGTGGCGATCCTTATCCAGTAGGTGTGACTACAGGAGGAATTGGTGTAGTTGGGCGACATGGTCACGGCTGTTGACTCGTGTGTGTTCCATCTGGCAAGGTCCAGATGTATAGTAACTATGTTGTTGGGAAAAGTATTTGCAATGAATGAGTCATTGATCTTGCAAAGTTTGATTAAGTAATTTCTAGTGTTGTTTCTATCAACAAGGGCATATTTTCCAACTCTTGATTCTTCGTTTCTAACTTTAACATTTCAGTTACCAGTAATTATGAATGCATCTTGATTGCATGTTTGATCAATTTCAGACTGCAGGGGTTAGTAAAAAATCTTCATTTTCTTCATCTTTGGCCTTAATATTTGAATGATGCTTGTATTAATTAATCTCCCTTGTAGACATGTGGTTATTATCCTATCACTGACAGCATCATACTTCCGGGTGGACCTTGAAATACTTTTCTTTGTCTGATTCAAAATGACCAATCCCAATCCATTTAAGTTCCCTGATGGCCTAGCATATTGATCTCTGTGTATTCCATTTCATTTTTCACAACTCCCCATTTTCTTACATTGAGACTTCGTACATTCCATGTGTTTTCAGCCGTTTCTTATAAGGGTGTGTTTCATCAGCAAATGAAAGCTCTGTCCCATTCACAGCATTAAGGTTGACTTGACATCAAGGGGGAAGCTCTTCCCCAGCCTGATTTTAAATGCCTTCCTACTTGAGGGCCTCATCTCCTGACACTGCGTCAGACAATGCACCGATGCTGTTTATAAGGCTATCACTGGATGGTTTTCCTCAGAAACAGGTTGTCAAGTCTTTCTTCCTAGTTTATACTATATTGGAATAGTATGTATATATAGCAAGTCTAGATTAATAAGCAGTAAGTAGTGAGAGGTGTTAAAATATGTAAGAGAAAGAAAAAGTGGCAGATCACAAACAGTTATTAGAATTCATTAAAAAATTAGCAAAATTGTAGGATATCAAATTAATATAGTTTCAGTATTTCTGCATACCAGCAATGAACGATCTGAAAATGAAAGTGAGAATATAAATTTACAATAACATTTAAAATACATAAGTATCAACTCAATGAAAAAAGTGTAAGACTTATACTCTGAAATTATAAAATATTCTTGAAAGAAATTAAAGATCTAAATACATGGAAAGACAACCATGGTCATGGGTTAGAAAAATTAACATTGTTAAGAAGGTAATCCTAATTATTGTATAGGTCTAACCCAGCCCCTATCAAAGATCTCACTCTGGTTTTAATTTCTATTTCCTTCATGAATAATGACTTTGAACTTTTATGTGCCTATTAGCCATTTCTAGGTCATCTTTACAGAAATGTTTATTCAGATCCTTTGCCTATTTTCAAGTGGTTTCTCGGTTGCTGCTGTTATTGTTGGAGTCGGTGAATTTTATAAAGGATGCCAAGACAAGTCAGGGAAGCAACTAGGCTTTTTAACAAATGGTGCTGTGCCACCTGGATAGCCATGGGCAAAGGATTGAATGTGAACTTCTACCTCATACCACATGTAGAAATGAGCTCAAAACGAATCAAGCGAACTATAAAACATATGAGTAAATTCTGTTACACAATATTTTCTGAGGCCTCTCTAGAAAGTACGACTAGTTGTATAATGATGACTGTTACTATCCACATGAAAATAGAAAGAGTGTTCTACATTTGTTTATCCTTCCTAACTCTTCTAAGGAACCTTGGTGACACAGTAGTTTAGGCATTGGGCTACCAAGCCCAAGTTCAGCAATTCAGACCCACAACCTCTCTATAGGAGATGAGGCTGTCTGCACCTGTAAAGTTTCACAGTCCATGACACCCTAAGGAGCAGTTCTGTGTGTTCTTAATTCAGAATCAATTCAATAGCAATGGGTTAAATCTTCTCTATCAATCTATATGCTGAGGGGTACCTCGGTTTTCCACGGCTCCAAACATAAATTTTCTACTACTGGAACAGCAGAGTTTGAAAAATATCTGCTCGGTGTTCATAACTCTGCTGATAGTCACAGCGAAAATCCGAGTTGGAAAAACCTGTACAGGCAGAGAGTGAGTCACGCCTTACATCTCACCTCAGACACAAAGGGGTGATGGTTTCAGCCTAAGCACCGCTCTAGCTCAGACAACATATAGTGCTCGTTTTAGTGTGTTAAAACATTTGTCATTGTGCTCTTTTGGGTACTTTATTTGTGTAAAATGTCATAATTTTATTTATTGTGTTTTGATATCTACTGTATTGTAGTTATTGTGTTTATATGTTTTCGGGGTATTTCTATATCCTAGGGCTGTTAACTTTGTGTTAAAGTCCTGGACAAATGAATATATAAGTGTAATTTTGGGGCCTCAGAAGCAATTATTTGGCTTTCCATTATTTCTTATGGGAAAACTATGTTCAGTTCTAGAACTTTGTAGCGTTTGAACATGACTTTGCAACAAGTTGAGTTCAGCAACTGGAGGTATCACTGTAATATGTGAAACATGGCAATGAGAAGAACACGGTAGCAGGATTGCAGAAGACTCATTAGCTGTCAGTGCAGAAACTTATCCTGCTTGCTGAAACCAGAGAGGACTTGAAGCACAAAGACATGATGATCAAAGACTACAGCCTTCAGTAGGAATCACATTTCAATGTCAAGAAAACAAAAATCCTCACAACTGGGCCCCAAATCCTCACAATAAGCAGCATTATGATAAGCACAGAAAAGATTGAAGTTGTTAATTATTTCGTTTTACTTGGGTCAACTAAATTACACATTGCATTGGGAAGATCAGCTCTTTAAAGTATTGAAGAGCCAAAGTGTTACTTTGAAGACTAAAGTCCTCCTGACCACAGCCCTAGTGTTTTAAATTGCTTTATTTGCGGGCGAAAACTGGACAATGGATAAGGAAGACCACAGAAGAATCCATGAATTTGAGTTATCTTGGTGAAGAATGTCAATTATACCCTGGATGCCCAGAGGAGTGAACAACTCTGTGTTAAGAGGTACAGCCATAATGCTCCTTAGAGTGTGCATAGTGAGACTTGCCCGCACCACCTTGTACCTCGAGAACTATACCTAGCTTGGTAAGTCAAGGCTCAGTGAAAAAGTGGAAAACGCTCAGAGATGGATTGCCAGAGTGGCTGATGGTGCAGTGTTTAGTTCTGTTTTGCGTGAGTTCGCAGTGAGTCAGAACTGACTCGATGGGACCCAACCGTACTACCAGTTCTTCAAATAAGCACGAACAACCTCATTCAAAACTTCCTTTTTAACACCTTATTAAAAACAGTCTTTATGTAATACTGTGTAAAAAGAGGTAAATTTATTTGAAAAGATTTCTTAATTCAGATTGATTATTTTTGATTGATTGGTTGATTGTTATGAAGTACCATGCTATTTTTGAAAAATTAATCCCTGAATATAGCACACAATTTCTTTTTAGCAAATAATTGACATGTTAATTATCCATAAAAGCTGCTGCTGTCGAGTTGGTTCGGAATCATCGCAAACACTATAGGACAGAGTAGAATCAGCCTAGAGGGTTTCAAAGGCTTTGACAGAAGCAGGATCACATTTCACATCTTTCTCTCAAACCACCCATCTTTCAGTTAATGATTTATTTTAACAGAAACTGCATTTCTGTATTTGTCAATTTTGGTTGCCCTAAAATTGAATTTGTGAAAACTATCGGAGTCACCGTTTGTGCCTCTTGAGCCGTTTCTGTTATTGGCCACGAAGTTAATTTAACTGTCAAACAGTGTCAACTCCAGTGTAGATCTTTGATTTTTAAAAATCCATAAAAATAAGTATCCCTTAATATTTCAAGCAGAAGTGATTTTTAAATAACCGGACTCATACTACAGTGACCTTTACCATTAAGCAGTGGTGTTGATCACTGGAGGGGCACTCCTGCCCGAATCACAGCCCTGGTTCTAGACATCATCTTTGGTGGCTCTTTCTCAAACCTTATTTTAGCAATAACTTCATGGTAGATTTTACTGTGTTCAAATGGAAATCCTCAGACTTGAAGAGGTTAAATAACAACAGGTCACATACCTAGTTGCTAAAGCCAATTTCTACGGAAATACTGGCTTAATTCATTTAAATTCCACCGAGTGACAGAAGAACTGAATTCACAATAGTTCATTAATTGTTTCAAAAAACACATTATTTTACTAATTTTGGAATTTCCTGAAAATAAACCTTCTGTCAACACTTAATAAACTTTTTTGTTTCTTATTATCTATTATTAGGACGTCTTGCTTGGCTGGTGTACTTAGTTGGGACAGTAGTAGGAGGAAGATTGACATATACCAGTACGGATGAACATGATGCTATGGATGGAGAATTATCTTGTCGGTAAGTAGTGGCCATATAACTTACAGAAGTTGACTAAGCAGTTAGAATATTTGTAGTTTTTGAACTGGTTATTGCAAGTTGGAATATTTTGTACTTGACCTTTTGAGGAAGGTATTATTTCTACCCTTTTATTGATGAGAAAACCAAGGCTTAGAGGTTAGGTGATTTGTGAAAGATCCAATTTCTAATACATTGTAGGGTTAAAAAAAAAAGTAAACATTTTATATTGCAAGTAGTGCAATATAAAATTTAGTTCCTTTTATGTCTTTGGAACTAACAAAGCATATATAATTGATAATCAGTTACACAATTGTATTGGCAACTGGTGGTATCGTGAGTGACAGCTTGGGCTGTTAACCACAAAGTCAGAAGTTTGAAACCACCAACTGCTCTGAGTGAGAAAAATGATGAGACTTTCTACTTCTGAGCATGGTTGCAGTATTGGAACCCACAAGAGCATCAGCCTCTGTCCTACAGTGTTGCTGTGATTCGTCCTTGGCTCGGTGGCATGAACGTATTTTCATCTAATTACCCTAGCTTTCTTAAGCAACTGAATCATTTCCTGTGGTTCTTTTATAAAGTGAAGAAAATGTTTCCACGTGAATAATATGAATTGGCTTCATATACATTTTTTAATGCCTTATTGTGAACTGATACATATATTTATTGACCTTAAAAATTAGGTGGATGGGAAAGGAAACTCATATGAATCTGGAAATAGCGACCACTGTCATTTGGACAAAGATGTTTGAGTCTTTTAAATTAATGTATATTGCTGTATCTACCAAAGAAAATAAGCAAATCTGTGGCCATGGGGTCAGTTCTAACTCATAGCGGTCCTACAATGGTATATGTGTACCACATAATGTAGTTCCTAACCTTTTAAAACAAAATTTAAATTACACTATAGTAATCTGTAACCTAAAATAGAAATAATAATATCTCATTGGGCTATTTTAAAGAGCTAATTTTTTAAGTGCTTAGAACAATGCATGTGTAACAATACTACCAGAAGCTTCTTGGGTTTTTAGTCAAACATAACCTCATGACTATGTTACTTAGATATTAAATAAGCTAAGCTAAAGCACAATTCAGGAGCCCTGGTGGTTTTACCGAAAAGTTAGCAAGGTGCGCTTAGTTCCTGCCCCAAGGCAGAGAGACGTGGCCATCTGTTTCTGTGAACATCCACAGCCTTTGGAACCTGCGATCAATGGTACTGCTGGAATCTGGCTTCCCCATTGCCCTGAGACGGGTCAGATATGTTTCTACACTGCATCCTTCTTCACCTATTCTAACACCAACTGCTACTACTACGCCTCTCCACATCTAGACTGGGTTTGATGATTCCTTGCAATGGGCACACAGAATTCACAGACATACACTCGCCATTTAAAGGATCGAGTAGGGAAGTTCATAGGAAGTTGCAACAAATCGGCATCAGCAAAGTGTAAGGATAGAGTGGTCTCCTCAGCCAGCAGCTAAGTCAGTCAGTCAGTGTCTGTCTCTCTCTCTCTCTCTTTCTCTCTCTCTCCAGTTCTCAGCCTCCCAGCCACATGGTCCCTTGGCTTTTACCTCCATAGGCCAGGCAGCCTGCCACTCTATCCCACAGTTCTCTAGCCTCAGGCTCCATTATCTCTGCCCTGATCCTCTGAGTCTCTGTGCCACAGTCTGGTGCATCTGGTTTCAGCAGCCTCCGCCACTTCAGGGATCCTGTATGTACTTTTCCAAGGTCCTCAGGGTTTCCCTCGCTGCCGCTGCTTCAAAGGTGGCTCATCTTTATAGCCAACAGGGGTAGGGGTGGGGGTGCGGCGTGAGAAGTAGGATGGGAGGTGGTAATGAAACTGACACACATCTTGTTGGCATACCCCCACTTACTCATTTGATCAGAGATATAGAGACATGG